AGACAGAAGATTTCCTCCAGCATGGCAAAGTGTGAGAGGGCCTGTTCTTTTTCTTTCTGACCTATAACTTATGCATTTCCAAAATTCATATCATATGATATAGTGATCCTTATCGCTGATGCACACTACTGCAGATTGATTTCCAGCTTTATTTTGGATGTTGAGTTTTTAGAGGTATAGAAGCTTCTAATGTTTATAGTCATGTCAATATGTTTTCTCTTTTTCTCTTTGCTTTTGCCCAAAGAATTTTCCAAGTTCTATTATTTGCTCCTTGATGGCAATACTGCATGTTTAGAAGCCCTCTAAAGTGTATTAATCTTCCTGATATAAATTTAGTTTATCTTTCTTTTACCTTGAATAAGTTGGACTAGAATTTGCCCCCCATTTTAGTTTTTAGTCAGGAATAAACCAGGTCTTAAGTAATAGCTTGATTTCAGTTTTAGTAGATGATAATTTTGACAAAGTAGTAATTACCTTGTGTTTTTTAATTTATTTAAAGTTGAACCATTTTAACAATATCGATTCTGCCGATCCACGAGCATGGTATGATTTTCCATCTGTTTACGTCCTCTGCTCTTTCCTTCCTCAGTGTTTTGTAATTCTCCCTGTAGAGGTCTTTCACCTCCTTAGTTAAATATATTCCCAGGTATTTTTTTTTCTTTGTTGCTATTGTGAAAGGTATTGAGTCTTTGATTTGGTTTTCAGTTTGACTGTTCTTGGCGTATATGAATGCTACTGATTTGTTTACGTTGATTTTGTAACCTGAGACTTTGTAGAATTTATTTATCAACTCCAGTAGTCTCTTGGCAGAATCTTTGGGGTTTTCTAGATACAAGATCATATTGTCTGTTGGCCCATGCTACAACTTCCAGGGAGAACTATGAAACACTAAGAAAAGAAATTGTAGAAGATGTAAACAGATGGAAAAAATCTATCTTGCTCATGGATTTGTAGAATCAACATGGTTAAAATGTCCATATTACCTAAAGTGATCTACAGAATTGATGCAATCCCTATCAAAGTGCCATCATCATTCTTTACAGATCTAGAAAAATAATTCTACGCTTTGTATGGAACCAGAGAGGACCTCGTATAGCCAAAGCACTCTTAAGCAAAAAGAACAAACTGGGAGGTATCAGTCTACCAGACTTCAAGCTGTACAACAAGGCTATAGTAACTAAAACAGTATGGTACTGGCACAAGAACAGAGATACAGACCTTTGGAACAGGACTGAGAATCCAGAGAAGAAACCATCCGCATATGGTAATCTTATCTTTGACAAAGCTATAACCTGGGGTAAAGAATCTCTTTTCAATAAATGATGGTGGGAGAACTGGGTAGCTACATGCAGAAGGTTGAAACTGGATCCCCACCTCTCTCCTCTCTTACAAAAATCAATTCAAGATGGATAACAGACTTAAACCTAAGGCAAGAAACCTTAAGAATCCTAGAAGAGGATGTAGGGAAGACCCTTTCAGACATTGGCCTAGGCAAAGAAATTTTGAAGAAGACCCCCAAAGCAATCACAGCAGCAGCAAAAATAAATAAATGACACCTGATCAAATTAAAAAGTTTTCGCATAGCCAAGGAAACTATCATTAGAGTGAATAGCCTATGGAAGGGGAGAAAATATTTGCTCTCTACACATCTGATAAAGGGAAGAATCTATGTAGAACTTAAAAAAATCAACAAGAAGAAATCAAACAACCCCATCAATAAATAGGCAAAGGACATGAAAAGAAACTTTTCGAAAGAAGACAGAATAATGGCCAGCAAGCATAAAAAAATGCTCAACATCTCTAATCACTAGAGAAATGCACATCAAAATCACAATGAGATATCACCTAAACCCAGTGAGATTGGCCTTTATCAAAAAATCCCAAAACAACAAAGCTGGCAAGGATGTAGAGAGACAGGAACACTCTTACACTGCTGGTGGGACTGCAAACCTCTGTGCAACCTTAGCGCAACCTCTATGGAAAAGAATTTGGAGATACCTCAAAGAGCTAAAAATAGAAATACCATTCGATCCAGCAATAGCACTATTAGCTATCTACCCAAAAGAACAAAAGACATTTCTATAATAAAGACATCTGCACCCGAATGTTTATGGCAGCGCAATTCACTATTGCAAGGATGTGGAAACAACCCAAGTGCCCATCAATTCATGAGTGGATTAATAAAATTTGGTATATGTATACAATGGAATATTACTCAATTATAAGAAACGACAGTGATCTAGCACCTCCTGAATAGAACTTGAGCCCATCCTCCGAAGTGAGGTATCACAAGAATGGAAGAATAGGCTCCACATGTACTTGCCATCAAATTGGCACTAACTGATCAACACTGTGGTGCTCACACGGTAGTAATATTCTTCAGGGATTAGGGGGAATGGGGGTGGGTAAACTCACAACTAATGCATGCGGTGAGCATTGTAGGGGGGAAAAGGCATGCCTCAAATCATGCTTTGGGTGTGGCAAAGTTATAACATGTAACCAAAATGTTTGTACTCCCATAATATTCTAAAATAAGTAAATAAATTT